ATATAAAAACACTCCAACACACCAAACAAGTTAAGATCCCAAATTTTTGGTGCAGCGAATTTCTCTGATGTTCGTTATGTGTACGTTCAGAAATCTGAAATGATGATGGCGACATGTAGAAATTCCACAGAGTCAGTCACAGCGGTCAGGTGCTCCTCTCATCTGACTGTGTGCCTGTCTGGTGACATATTGTTGTCCAAATTTAGAAGTGACTCAAAAAGGAAAACATTAGCAACCTCCTACTGTGCCGACCACTTGTTGCCTGCGGTGTCAGGCCGACAGATGATAATAAAGAAAGGAGCAGGGCTGATAAAAATGTGTGTGTTATCTGTGGTGGGAGTGAGGGACAGTAAATGTAGAGATGAAGGATTGTATTCGTTCTCAGGATCCGAAAACAAACTGAAGCGGAAGTAAAAAGGAAATCTTGCCAACTGCTTTATGACCGTCAGTCAGCAGCTTGTTGGCTTGATTACAAATTGGGAAAATTGGTCCGCACAGTTAATTCTAATGGTTTTTGTAGCATTGAGTTTTCACAATTTTCTCTTTCAACTTCTACCATTCCTCCAGCTCTCCAATCCCTTAAAGTGTCGGTCAAAATTTGTAAAATTATATTTGTAATATTCATTAAACCATCTTTTTGAAAGTTGATCTTGAAATCAGCTGATTTTATCACAGAAAAAAGAAATTGGAATTGTTTAGGTGACCATGCACGGCCTTTAATACGCACGAAGAAACTTTAAGTTTGTGAGACAATTCTTAAATACAAGAAGAAAACACTCAGAAATAAAATAAATGTGTTTATTTTATTTGAATGCACAGTTAAAAACATAAATGTCAGCATTTGATCCACTGTACTGAATTATAGCTTGAAGCTAATTCAAAACTGCAGTCGCTTGGCAGGTTAGAATACAAAGACAACACAGCAACATAACGCTAGACGATACAAAGATGAACACAATACAATACAAACAAAAATAGCCCATTACAAGAGTTTGAGTCAAATGAATAAAAACAGTGAAAACATTGCTGAGCAGCTTTCAACAGACTCTTGAAGTTACTGAAAGAGCTGCAGCTCCTCACTTTGTCAGGTGGGGTGTTCCACTGATTTGTGGCTTTTATAGGAAAAGCTGACTGCCCGAATGACAGTTAATCTGCAATGAAATAATAATAATAATGACTGTCATGTTTTCTAAATGGACGAACAGTAACGATAACCAAGCGTGCCGAGCTTATAGGGAAGTGCTACAAACTCGAAAACTGATTTTAATGAAGAATTTGTGAAGGAGTGCTTTGTTGGTGCTAGCACCAAAGTGTAATAGTTCATGTCACATTAAATTGTCGACTTGTCTACAGCTTATTTGATTGTCTTGTTTCTTGGCCTGTCGAGCTTTGTCGTAGCCTTGTTGCCATGTCCCCAGTCCTCTGCAATTACTTTTGTGACAGTGATCATCTCGGATAAAAATAATGGCCACAACTATGAAAATAAGATCCCAGATGGATAAACTGGAATGATCCTTTAATGCCACCTACTCATTTCTAAACACATAGGAGCATCTGTTTATTGCTCTTGTGTGCGTTATGTATACACAGAATCAGTTTGTGCATATGACTTATATTAAACATGTCAGTCTGCACTCACATTTATGCACCACTGTGTTTTCGTGTGTCTGTGTGTTTGTGCCTTTTTTTCTAAATTAGCTGCTTTTAATAGGGTAGGGGCATCAATAGCATCCCACTCCACCTCTCACTCCCCCCTCCTCCCCTCTCCTAGCCACCCTCTTTGCTTTCCCTCCCCCCTCGTAAATTCCTCCAGATGCCTTTTGGGATTCCTAGACCTCCGTGAAATGCGAACTGCCCCTCATAACTCCCGTCGTAAGCGCCCTCGTAACGCGCTTCATCGTGTCTCATAATGCCCCCTCTTCCCAGGAGAGGTGGCAGTAAAGGCTGAGACAGAGGAGCTGTGAGGTTTAATGGGGGGAGTCAGAGCCATATTAAATACACAGCTAAAAGACATATAGACCCCAGGCCGGATTTGATTAAACCCCCTGTTTAGTGGCCATTTCTGCAGATGCCGTCGCTCCAAAGGGTTGAAGAAAGATGGAGGTTAACAAAATGTGTGCAATATTTAAAAAAAAGGTAATTCTCTACTTTTGTGGAGTTAAATTTTACATGTCTAAGAAACACTGGTGTTGGTGCAGCATTCAACAACCTCCTCTCTTCATCTTGTCTTCTTGTCTCTGACCCTTACATCCTGTTTTTTGGTCTCAGGTGTGTTAATCGTGCTGTGTTAATCTGCATTCTGAGAAACGCATCAGACAGAGGAACTATGGGTTATTTTCGCTGCCAACTTTCCAAATCTCTTTTCATGTGCCGACCACAAGCTGCGCACTGGGAAAATTTACAGCACATTGGCGTCGGTGGCCGCCATGTGTACATTTGTCGCAATATCTGAAAAGCGTGGGATTGTTTGTAGTGAACGCATGCTGGATGGCCTGAACCTGGATGAGTCAGGATCCACGTCCGGATGTCCAGATGTACAATGTGCACTTTGGGAACTTGTAAAGCTCCTCGTGTGAACATCCAGACACCCTCAAAAGAAGGCTGAGTGATGAAAGCGGCAAAAAATAGATCAATGTCTTGGTAGTCCGTCTTTATCGACCTCTGATGGGCCGTATTGAAGAACGGGGAGGAGGTGTGTGTCTGTTTTGTTATCCACCACAGCTATTCTTGGCCTTTTGGTTGTCAGCACATTTCACTGTGAAGAGTTACACTTAGCTCTAATGTGTGTGTGTGTTTGAATAACTGTCAGCTCCAAACACACATAAATACACCCCTATGAAATGCATGTTTTCTAATCATGGACTCATAGAATTTGATTTAATCCGGTGTTTGCCAACAGTTTGTGTTAAATCTGATGTCAACACACAAGTAAATCCCTCATCCCTCATTACACACCTCAGAGTGACACCTGCCAAGTACCCAAGCTAATCAACACTTACTATTTGCCCCTTGTGTGTCATCGAAGGGTCAGAGAGCACTAAGTTTACCTGAGCAATCTCTCCTTTAATACCCCACTAATCTTCTCCAGTGCCTCTCCCGTCCTTATCTTAACCCCAAAGCTACCATCTAATTTTTTACCCCATTAAACCATCACTAGACCAGATGTGATGCACAGAACAGTATAAAACATGGCTCAACAAGTTGCTCTCAGATTTATATCTTGATAATTTGTTACATTTATCTCGATTGCAATTAGTGCAACGTATCATAATACACCAGCATGTGACATTTCCTTTCTTGGGCTGTCTTAGTTAGTTATCTATATCCCAGGATTAATTACAGTATGACCATTGGACTTTAAGCTGACTGCTGGTTTAATGTACAGTTTAAAGACAATCCCTGCTCAAGGTTCACCTTCCAGATTTTTCTGGAGGTTTTTATTCTCCATCACTAGTCAAGGAAATAGTACATTTATTCTTAAACTAGAATGGCCCTCACCAGAGTACACACCCCCATCAAGGCCCAACAACCCACTTCCAAAAAACAGGTTTCCATTGAGTATGTCAAAACATGGAAGTGTGCTGTCCTACAACATCTGAGCATTTCTTATGGAAGGGCTTTCCTGGCTTACAGCAAAGGTCACAAGCCACATTCTCACACCATCACATTGTTATTCGCTGGCACCTCTTTCCACCCTTCCTTTCTCCTGTCTCTGTTCACGATCCATTAATTAATAAAGCAGAAATCCTCTAATTCTGCTTTACAAACCAATGATGCAAAAAACGAAGGACCTGCCCATAAACTGCTGTAACCCCACAAAACATTTTACATGCCTGATTAAAAGGACATTATGGTATTAAATGCCGTGGACGCTGATGCGTGCGCTCCATAAATATCTGTAAGTAAGAGTCAGTATAGGAGGCTGCCATCTCAAAGGAATGGAGGATCATTGTGAGGTGTCAAATGGGAAAATAATACCCCCGGAGTGTCTCTCACAGACGCAAGTGCCATTATGGATCTATTCAGGGGCACTATGGCCATTTACACTGTGTAGAGCAGGTAACCCAACACCACTACTAAAGGCTTCCTGAGTCACGTTCGCACTCGCTGGACACGTGCATTTTCTTTAGAGATGCACTGGGTGACTGTGACTTTCAACTTCACACACACACACACTTAAATCCCCCTTTGCCATGGCGATGAGGTCTCCACAATTCTTGTTAAGATGAGCAGTTGTCATCAGCTGGGTGTCGTGTTACAGGATGCGTGCTGCTGCGCCGACATTAGACATGACTCCTTCTCTGTCTCTTTGGGATCGTCAAGACATGCGAGCAGATGAGTGGCCATCGGCTCTTTCTAATGGCTGATGACCTATTAACTGTCATCAGGGTCTTTACTGATTAAAAACAGCAACTGTGGCTCAGTGGTATAGGGAGGTTGGTGGTTCAACCCTTGGCTCTTCCAGCTCGCATTCTGAAGTGTCCTTGGTGAGATATCATTAAATAATGGCCCTTGCATAATAATTACCTTTTTTTTAATCAAATACATATTTATCTTAGTATTTGAAATACAAGTTACTTTCGAGAAGTTACTAAATTCTTTATTTTGCCTGGAGTCCCACTGTGTGGAGTTTGCATGTTCCCTCTATGTCGATTTTCTCTGTGGACTGTGGCTTCCTCTCACAGTCTGAATACATGCAGATTGAGGTTAGGTTAATTAAAGACTCTTGGTTGACCGAGGGTTGTTTGTCTGTATATTGACCCTGCGATACTCTGGCAACAAGTCCACCTCTCGCCTAGTGTCAGCTGGGATTGGCTCCAGCCCCCGTTACATGATAATACATAATGGATGGATGGATGGATGATACATGTTGTTGGTTAATGTGTCTCTAGCATTTTACCCTGTGGTATAAAGACAACCTGGTGTGTGTACTCAGAGTGTGACTGTTGTGCATCATTAACGTCTTCTGTGTTTGTGTTTCCGTAGGTGTGCGTCTGGACCGGGTGCGAGGCGGCAGACAGAAGTACAAGAGGAGAATAGATGCCGAGAACAGCCCTTATCTGCACCCACAGAACGCCCTGCCCCAGAAAAAAACATGTAGGCGCACAAACAAAGCTTTATATTAACTGTGGTGCACATATACTTGAGTGCAATACATAACTGTTAAGCACTCGGCCCACCTTAATGGATTAGTTTATTGTAGATGTGACAGGCTCTTATTTTATCTGTGTTGTGAGTTCCAAACAGTTCAGTAATGTTTTTCTGTGATGTTGTCTGTCACAGCGCTGAATCATTTTTATAGCCGGTCTTTGCTAATGAGTTGGCATTAATCATTGCCAACTGAAATATTTGAAATGAGAAGTGGGAAGCGTTGAATTGGCTGTGATGAACTTCACGCAAAACACTGTGGTCCTGTGGAAATCCCGTAGGTGCGATACCTTCCTCTCCAAAACATCAACTTTTCACGAGCTTAGAAGAAATTCTTCAGCTTTGTTAGATGGTGTAATACATTTTTCACATAATCCTGTGGGGTTTTGTTTTAGCCTTAGAAATGAGACAATTTTCTCAGCCTCTAAAGGAACACTTAACATTTTAAATCACCTCATTAGATTCACTGGACAGAGAAAAAGAAAATACATTGTGAATATAACGTCCCACTGGGGAGGAGACATTCGAGTTTTAAATATTTTAACTCTTTAAAAGGTCCAGTGTGTAAGGTTTAGGTGAATGGGAACTATTGGCAGAAATTTAATGTAGAATAATCCTCATGATGTTTTCACTAGTTAGTTTCATCTAAACTGTATGAATTGCAGTTTTCTTTACCCCAGAAAAGGCCCTTTATATTCAAGTACTTTATATTCAAATACTTTATATTTACATCAAGGGGACCATCTCTACGGAGGCCACAATGTTTTTTTACATTAGTCCAGACTGGACAAACTAAACACCTTTTGAGTTTTTATGACAATTAAAGGCTACCACAGTTTCTTTTTCATGTTTGGAAGGAGAGGGTGAGGTGAAGGGTGTTCAGCTGCAACATGCAACCTCAACAGTAGATATCATTAAATTCTACACAATGTACCTTTATGTGACGCTAAACTCAATGTAAAACACCTATGCAACCCTCCCTGGACATGGACGTCTATAAATGGTAGATGTGATGTTTAGGGGTTTGGTTTCGACATAGATTTAAAAATGATCCCAGTTTTCCAGATACCAACAAACAGTCACTGGTGGAGCCGACCTTTGATTTGAGGGTGTTAATCTCTATAAACGGTCGACTCTACATAAACTTTGGCCCTGCAAATTCAAAGATGGTTTGAAACACTAGGTGGGGTTGTGAGCCATTTTCAATCCATGATATTAAGACCAGCATTAATTAAGAGTCATATAATGTAGTTTACTGTGACCTTGTGCAGATTAGTTTAATCAAAAAAAGATGGTTGACAATAACAAATATCATCCTCTCTCTCAGTCTCTGTTGGCGGCGTGGTGGAGAACAAAGTGGTGTCTCTGCTGCTGGTGGCCGAGCCCGAGGGCATCTTCGCCATGCCAGACCCCACAGTGCCCGAGAGTGACATCAAGGCGCTGACCACACTGTGCGACCTGGCTGACAGGGAGCTGGTGGTCAACATCGGCTGGGCCAAACACATCCCAGGTACTACAGCAGGCTCGAGTCCTCAGTCACTCACTCAGTCAGTCAGTGAGCCAGTTGTTCACTCTCACAATCCAACACACACACACATTACCTCGCATTAAGTCTATAATCAGATCAGAGGAGGAGATTGTTGGTATGTGTGGTTGCCAAGAGGCTCGCTGGATGCCCAGAGGAGAGAGAGGAGGGCAAGTTGGTGCGACTGTGTGTTGTCTGTCAGTGTCTGTGCTCTGTGTGTGTGTGTATGTGTGCATGCGCCATGCCCTTGCCAAACCCTGTGTGTTCCTAATATATCAACCAGATGACCAGTGGCCACCTGGACCTTTTAATTCATTTCCTGGGATGCAGACGTCTCCCTGTTCTGTTTGAATTACGGAAATCCTCCTAACACTTGGAACAGCAGAAGGAACGTCCAGATCTTCTTTTTTTTACTGCGGATGAGAGAGTGGAAAGGAGAGGTGAAGAGTATTCTGACAGCTTAGTGAGATTAAAATGCTTCAGGTTCTCAACTGTAAAAATATCAATTTATTTATATTGTAATGAATTTCATATAGTTGAGTTTTTCACAGTTGTATTCAAATCAGGCAATTTACACATGTGAGCTTGGCAGGTTGTGATGGACATTTTCAATATTTTATCCACGGAAACTTGTCCGTGACTCTAAAAGAAAACCTGTGAGGACGGACCTTGTTAAAATCCACAGCACTTCATTTAAAATTAAACTGCAAAGTTTATAAATATTTTAAACAAATAAATCGGGAAAGCTTGACGTTCAGGGTTTTGAACAATGAATCAACTACAATCATGATCATCATAGTTTATACGAGTTTAGATTCAGACTGTATAAGTGAAAAAAACTGAGAGACATTATCTCCTGTCTCGATTTCTGCCCTCGTGTTTTTGCTCCAACTGAAGCCCTGACAGCTTTATCAGCCGAGGTTATCCACACCCAAAACACCACCCGGAAAACACCTGGCTTTTTTGTTGATGTCCTGTCTCTGAAATGCTTACAAAACAAACAAAGCAGGTGTGTGTGTGTGTGTGTGTGTGTGTGTGCGTGTGCCTACTATATTTGTCCCTTTGTTTCTACAAAGTGGACATGAAGAAACTGTTTGAGTGTATGTCGGTGTCTGATGTCCCTCATCAGCACTTCCATTGTTCTTTTCTCCTTTTTTTTTTAAAGAAAGAGGAGAACAGAACCCCCCCCCATTCCCTGTCCTCACCCTCCCCTTGTCTCACCCCCCCAGGCTGAAGCTGTCTGCCTCTCTCGTCGGCTCTTTACTGTCAGTGCACTAGACAGACGGAGTCCGACTGATGGGGGTATTTGTAGCCCTTTGCCAGTGGAGCTATTGAGCTGAGGAAGAGGAGCGCTGGTGAGAGGCAGAGACCCACCTGAGGGGGAGAGAGGAGGGGAGAGTGAGGAAGGAAGGGACAGGAAAGATGTGTTTTTATCCGACTGTCAGGCACATCTTCTCCAAACTTTTAAAATGTCACTAAAATAAAATGCAACAGAGGGTGAACGTCCATCAGGTGACTTAAGCCAAATAAATGTGATAAAGGAAGAAAGAAAGTTTTAAAGATCTACTTTGGGATAAGTTCCTTTTTAAATATTTCTTTTAAAGCTAAAAACAAATACTTTTCTAAATACTGCAGCTAATTTCAAGACTAAACTACTTTTAATCTAAAATATTCAAGAAATCTTTATTAGCACTGTACAGATATATTAAAAACATTTCTGGAGCAGGCCTGTAGAGGTCCAATTTTTATTAAACAAATATTAATGTATGTGAAATTTGGTGCATTTTGATTGAAATCAGCCCTCTACTGAGACATTCTTCCTATCAGGCTTTGTAGACTAAATCAAATAGAACTTGTCAAAAAAATAAACGAAAGCGGCACAAAAATACACCAAATAAAACATTAGAGACAATCTGTTCTCCCGACCAGCCACATAAGTTCATCTTTTAATTAAAGATTTAAAAGCAATTATAAATACTAAAAAGAAATTGCAGCTGATATTACGATATAAACTGATATTACAGTGTAATTGAAAACATTGTCCCCCATTTGACTGAGAAATTGTGGTTGGTGTCACCGGTCAGCTATTTCAGTTTAAAACAAAAAGACAAATAAAAAACAGAAAGACAGAGGCAGAAAGATGGCGATAAGGGCAGATAGAGATAAAAGGGATGAGCAGAAAGACAGAAATGGGAAATATGCGAGTGACCTGACAAAAAGGGACCATAGCATCATTCAAGAAGCAGGTTGATGTGGCAAAAGAGACAAAAAACAAAGGTAAACAGAAGAGACAAAAACATAGAGAGAATGGGTATTTAATCAGAAAAAGACCGTCCCCTCCTAGCAGCGTAATAACCATGTCACATCGGCTCTGGATGAGTGGCAGGGCACATGGCCCTCATCGCTATGAGAACCAGGGTCCTGGGCGAAGTGGCCCGGGCCATCTGAGTTCTCAGCCCGAGGGGAGGTGAGTGTGACGGGGCAACTGTCCTGGCTGCTCCCCCCCTCTTTCTGTGTCGGCTCGCATCAGGCAGATTGACAGTGATGTGGTCTGAAGTCTGAGGGCCAGACTGGCAGATGAGCTGGCCAAAGACCAACTGCCCTCTTTGCTTTTGGCCTTTTTATGAGTCTGTGCTGTGAGTTGGCCGTCGAACGTGAGTGTGAGAGCAGCTTTGTGTTGCTGTTGTTGTTGCTGATAAGACACAACCAACGCTGGCAACGCAATTCTCCCAAAATGTCAACACTCCTCATTGCCCTCAGTGTTTTTTCCTCAAGTCTCCTGCTCTTTTCTCTTTATTGATGGTTTAACTCGTATATGACCTTAAAATCAATCAATGTATTTCCCTGAGATTTCACACAGGCCCAAACACTCACATTCACACAGGTCCCTGTCCCTGATCGATGGTCCAGTGCCAGAATACCGATCCCTATCGACCAATGAAACTGTGCACAGACAGCATTTCTAATCAATCAGGGAGCGATAGTGGGGAAATGGGCGCCACTGACGTTCCCGTGGTGATTGTAAAGAGCAGCGAATCCTGATAACCATCACTGATGGTGTCAAAAACACAAACGTCCGCCCCGCCTCCCCTCGCTCTGTAAAATCATCTTTTTAATTACCGTAAACGTGCATGTGTGTGTGCAGGTTTATGTGGAGAGGGTGATCAAGTTTAATCATACTCCTGTGGGGTGTAATTGTCAATCAAAGTAGGTGTGTCCCACAGAGAGTGATTAAATCCACCACCCGTTCACTCCTGTCCTTTGTTTTGCCCTTTGCTTAGTCGCACGCTTTGAAATAAATAATGCCACAAACACATTCTGCGTTATCAGTGATATTTAACATATAACATGTAACAATCCGTCATAAAATGTTGATTCAACTTCTGTTGTATATTTTGTTGATTTGTGTACATACATTATCCAAAATGTTTTCAACAATGTTCATAACCAGAGAAATCCACAGTTTTATTCAAGGTAACAAGACGCCTTATTTTGGTGTTTTTTTGATTTTGTGGTATTTGCTTCATCCGTCACTTTGCACATAACTGCTTTAACTTTCAGGGCAAACAATGGATGATGTATGAAAAACACACTGTGAACCAGTTAGCCAGGCGGCTGTTTAACCTTCCACTGTTTGTTTTGGTCAACGTAATGGATCACGATTATTCATTGCCATTTGCTGTGAAACGTGAATAACACTTTAATACAACTGAGCATCAGGTAGAATCTCATCGTCAATGGTGGTGAAGGCAACAACTCCCATGATTCCACGCTGCTTCAGTGTGTCATAAAATACACCTTTCTCATTGTTTTATTGGGAGAAGTCATATGTTGTACATTTTGCCAGAGAGCTAGAGTCTGCACAGTAGCGATGGAGGAATGGAGCTGTGGTATCAAAGTCCCGTGGATAAACATGCTCGAGACAGTCTCAGCTGCCAATCATGATGTTTTAACCCATTATTATAATACCAAATATTATAATATATATATGTAATTAATTAATTATAACACTCTGTGGTATCTCTAACTGGTCCTTTGTATCCTCTCTGGTTTTAGGCTTTCCCTCCCTCTCACTCGCAGACCAGATGAGTCTACTGCAGAGCGGCTGGATGGAGATCTTGATCCTGCGAGTGGTGTTCCGCTCGCTGGCCTTGGAGGATAAGCTGGTGTATGCTGAGGACTACATAATGGACGAGGAGCAGTCGAAGCTGGCGGGCCTGCTCGACCTTAACAACGCCATCCTGCAGCTGGCGAAGAAGTACAAAACCATGGGGCTGGAGAAGGAGGAATTTGTGATTCTCAAGGCCATCGCACTCGCCAACTCAGGTATCCTCAGGGTTCTTTGGCTGACTTTTTTCATTCTTCTTTACCTGCACTCTTGTGTATTGTGTATTTTGTTCTAAAGCATTTTTGATTTTTTAATTCCATCTCTTCTGTTAGACTCCATGCAGATCGAGGACTCAGAGGCCGTTCAAAGACTGCAGGACGTCCTTCACGGGGCCCTCCAAGATTATGAGGCCACCCACCACCCAGAGGACCCCCGACGTGCCGGCAAACTGATCATGACCCTGCCCCTTCTCCGTCAGACGGCCGCCCGTGCAGTCCAGCACTTCTGCAGCATCAAACAGGATGGTCGCGTGCCTATGCACAAACTTTTCCTCGAACTGCTGGAGGCCAAAGCCTGACCTGAGCACAGACAGTGATCAGAAAAGTGAAGGATAACGGGTAATGGTGGGGTGTGACGCCATGTATTTGTCCATTTCAGCTTGCATTTGAAAGTAAGGTTTTGAATTTGCAGAAAGCAGCTGGAATATATTTTTAGAGCTGCACCCCTCCTATGCCCAATGAGTGTTTGGAAAAGCAGTCATATTTGCAKATAGTGTATGGACGCCATCGGACGTTTGTCATCTGTGCTGTTTCGTGACCCTAATCTAAGCTGCATCGAACGCAGATGGCAGATGACCAGACACATAAAAGCAGGAGAAATCGCCTTCTAGAGATATTTACAGTTACATGCCAAAAGTAGAGCTTCTTTTGTCAAAAGACCACCTGATACTTGAAGATCCTTGTGGATTATTTCATCCATCTTGAAGCCTGTTAATATGCATTCTAGTGCATTTAGAGCCTTTTTTGTATAGGAAAAGGGAAACATGTCCTAAGGGGTTCAGTAAGGCTACATCCACATTACTACGGTTTCATTTAAAAAAAGCATAAACTATGCTACAGTGACGCCTGGCATCCACACTCATGTAGAGTTTTAAAATGGAGAAGTTTGGAAATACTGCTGACCCCAATTTAGCTTGAAAATTCCCGTACTGCGTTTTAGTATAAGACAAGCAGGAACAGAGTTTCGGAAACATTCATGTCTTTTGCTGTAGCCTTCGCTGATTGGTCAGGCTCCTATCACATGACCTCCTCCCAGAAGAAAACATTTTGCATTAGCCTCGGCTACCAGTATAGATTACAAGATAGAAAATCAACCATAAGCTTACTGTGTTGTCTTTACTAATAGCTGTCGTGCAGCAGAAGACAAACTATTATTCAAGCAATCTGCAGCAATTCCTGTGTCCAGCGGGACCTGAGCGGGATGCACTTGCCTTCTTGTGAATACCAGCACGTGCACATAAGTGGTCATGGGATGTGTGTTTTAAAGGGGAGCTATCATAATACTCTTGTGGACAGAGGTGGTTTGAAAACGTAGTAGTGTGGATGTAGCCCAAGTCTTGCCAAAGAGTGAAGACTTGTACGATTGAATAATACCAGCAAACGTCCACAACATTATGTGGTCTGTAAGACATTCACATAACCTGCATCCCTGCTCTATTGTGCACTGCAAAAATATCTATCCAGTCTCTGCATTCATATATTTAGACGATCAAACGGGAGCGACTGAGCTATCAGCGTCTCATATAACACAATAATCGGCCTCCTGTTCAGGGAATGAGTACGTAACATGTCATAATACAATGGTACAACAGTAATGTGATATTTATTTGAAAGTGGCTCTGTTCTTTTGCTGTTTTTTTATTTACTAACGTGGCATTAATATAACAAAGAGTAGATTAAAGCAATTACAGTGGATGATAATTTTTTAAAGATTTTTAAATGATATCGTTGTAAGATAATTTTTTTACTAGCTTCTCTGCTGCAGCACTGATATCTACGTGTACCATATCATTAAGAATCGAGACTACATGATTATAAGTGGAGTCTGTACTTGAACTTGAAGATCCATAATGTCGTAGGGATGTGTAGACCCATAGATATAACTTTAACTATGTAATAAAATGGCTGCCATACTGTATAATCTGGATTTTGGGAGGCGCTCTGTGTCCATTCTATGGTAGAAATCGATGTGTAGTATGAAATTTGTGCACTATTTTTGCTTTTAGCCACAACGTTTTGGGGTAAACTGGTGATGGCGCTTTGCTAACCTAGTGTGTTTTGTGTGAAGAGTAGTTCTATATGAAAATGTGTCCTTTGCTGCACATATTAAATGAAGGGATTAAACTCGGAAGGAAGGAATCTCAGTACAATTCAACAAATAGCTGTGCTCCTTATTTTACTCCTCAATGCATATTTTTTGATGAGCGCAGCGATATGGCAGTTTTAAATGTATGTTCTGTACATTTTGCTGTATATAAGTCATGTCCTATGCCAACAGAGATGTTTAAAGATGCAAATAAGCTTTGTTTTGGATGAGTTGTGCCGTGCTATTTCATTCTCAGGTGGATTCTTGGGCAATAAAGATGTTCTCCATAATGAAAAGCTCATATTATGCCCGAGTGTCATCTTTCTGGATAAAGAGAAGCGGTGTCGGGTGGGTGGGGGGGTGGACTTTGAATCAAAGGTATGGTATGTAGACGCAGTGTATTCTGCATGGTCTGACAATGGGCTGTCATTTCAAAGTAAAGCCCATTATGTCACATTTAGGCCACGAGAGCCCAGCTGGATGGAGATTAATAATTAACAATTGTAATATAATGATGTCTAACAGTTGCTCCAGGGGGCGCTGGTCACCAGATGCCTGCTGAGGGAGTCACAGCCAATTCATCATTTTCATCATGTCATTATTCAATTTTTTGCATTTATAGGCAGCATTAGGATTCTTTATACATTGTTTATAACACGATGTGAAATCATCCAAGGGTATTTTTGTTTAGCTTATTTTGTAACACTGATTTCTTCCGTTTATATATTTAACAATTTCAATTTGTGTAGCTGTGTCCATCATATTTTCTGCCAATTCATCACACAATCTCACAAGAACAAATCCTTATACAGTCAGTTACAATAGATGTTTTCACATGTACAAGTCATTAACTGAGATTTAAAACTGTGATAAGAACTGTGATCAAACCTCATCCATCCATCCCTCCATCCATTTGTTTGTCTGTCCATCTTTTCTACAAACGTGCTGAATTTTACTGAACAAAAAGAGATCACCTCCAAACATACTGTCCATCCATCTATCTCAGCTGACATACTATATGATGAGAGATAAATTGAGATACAGTATGATTTTCAGTGATATTTTAGTTTGTTTTACTTGTTTTATTCAAAACAACTTTTACATCTTCAACATAGTCATTTGAATAAAACAAACCTAAGACTGTGAAAAGGGTGCTTTCTCCTCCTTCTTCACTAGGCCATGTCTCCCTTTGATCAGTTATTTAAAAATCTGAATATCAATTAAATTATGTAGATAATCTTTTTCAGGTTGTGTGTTGCATGTGTTAACAGTTCTTCTGTTATGTTTGGGCTGTTTCTCTGTTTGACTGGTTTTTGTTTTTTCCAGGTATGTGGGTTCAGATCAGCAGGTCAATCAGGGAGAGTGACAGCAGGTTTGCATGATCAGGGCTCTGTGAAAGGAGGGGCTGGGCACACTCAAAGTGACAGAGAATGGGTGAAGTATGCTGCATTGAATTACACTTTAGCCTACCTATTGCATGTATCTCGTGTTTTTGTGCCGATAGATTGAATTGTGAGGTCAGCAGTAACCCAGACTTCAAACTTGGTCTTGTCTTGAGTGTGGTTTCTATTTGTCTTTCTGTTGAGCTCACCTTATACTTACCAGTGCAGGTGGTAGGTTCCAGGCAGGTGAGGCTATAAAGCCAAATGCCAGTCAGTAGTGATGAGGGGGGGTTAGCAGCTTGCGTGGTGAGGCTGCAGATGTGTATAGTTTGGTGCTCTTTTTCTGTCTCTAGTGTGATTTAGTTTGAGTACTTTCCCAGGGATTGTTTTGTCTTTCTCATGCAGTACCTTTTTGTTAATAAAATTCAAATTTTTTCATCTACTCCTTCTTCAGTAATGCTTTTTTTCCTCAAGTTTTCAGTGCCAAATACCATCCTCTACCTGGGTGGTACAGCCATACAACGACATTTTTTCAGATTTCTGATCTAGCAACCTCATAGAAAAGTATATATGAAAAAGAAAAGCAAAACAATCTTTAGATTATTCATATCAGTGTTAAGGACAACATCATTTAATAAACACTCTCACATAATGCTGTTTATTCAAGTAAACACAGAAATACCTTTTTATTTAACAAGAAATTCCTACAAAACCTCCATCAGTGTGATGTTGTTTTATTATTATCTTGTTAAAATTCACTTCAGATATGCTTCATAATAAAACAACCAACTTAGGAGCTTCATAAATAACTTTATTGCACATTAGAAATGACATTATTTAAAAAAATGGAAAAATGTTACACAAAAGAATGTAGAAAATGGATGAATTAAACAATGTGAGAAGCCATAATATAAAAGTAATACTGCATATGAAGCTCAAAGTGCTTGATGCAGCACAATGGGTAAAGTCAAATGAGAATGAAAATGAGCCCAGTGCAACAGATGTAGTTTGTTTGTTACGAAAATAATACAATTTCCAATTTCAAACATAATAATAGAACAACATGTTTTACAAACAGTTTAACATGGGCTAAAAACAGCAACTTCAGCTACAATAACATTACGGTTATTATCATTAAGGTTAATCCAAATATCCAAAATCCAAATACGTCAGAGAACTCAGGCTTAAATACATGTTAAAATGTAATAAATAAAATAAAGTAGATTATAGTATTTATTAGAGGTGGATCCATCTGTACACCATGTTTTACAGCGTTGATTTTCAAAATGTAATTTGAAATTTCTCAGGCTGAGGAGCAGAGCCGTATTTTTATAAGGGAGGTGATTGGAGAAACAGATATTTAGTTTGGATTACATGGTGTTTGATTGAGTTTACAGTCGATAAAGTGTTAAGTCGACGGACACGCTGCCTTCAGCTGCAATCAGTCACTACTGTCTGTAACGTGAAGCGTGTGATTTAATTTGTTCGTACAATACGGGAAAAAATTGATTTTGAATCTTAATTTTGAACAGGAGATGGGAGGAGTAGACTGTCAGTAAAACCATATAAGAGTAAAGATGGATGAATAGAAAGACAAATCAAAAATCAAATGAAGCCATTTGTCCTTTGTCCCTTTTTATCTGTCAGCAGGAGCAAAATAACCTGCTTATTTACCTGTGGTCAAAAACTCTCACTAAGGGACTTGGAGCTGGCTGGAGATTTTTCAGCACATCCTCCGTCACTAAGTGAGTTAGTGATCTTGAGTGATACGTCCCCGTGCGTCCCGCTCCTTAAATGAGTTAGTATGTGTCTAGTGGCCGTGTCGCCCAGACACCTTGGTGATGGATGAGGCCCCGAGGAGATGGGCTGTAAAAAAGGCTGATTCTGGCACTCAAGGGTGAGATCACTTCCTCAATAAAGAAGCATTGTCCCGAATCATCACAGCAAGGTATGAATGCTGATGAGGGTATTAGACAGAGGAGAGCTGCTGTGTAAAAATAAATCAAATGTGCTGTTAGTTAATGTTGGGGCCCTTTTGATACGGAGCGGTGATGTCGGGAGCCAAGGACTAAATATTCGAAAGAAATCTTAAATCATTAGTTAGTCCTCATATATTCTCCGCATCTGATATCACATTTGTCCTTGTTAGCTGGTAATTTCCTTTAATATTCAACTAACCCTGTGTTAATCTCAAAAAAATAGTCTTGGAAAATGGTGATATGTTGGGATGGGTGTGATAATGGTGTCAGCTTTACTATGATTACAATTTTTACTTACTGAATTTCAAAAATGTCAGATCACCTCCAAACCTCCATCCACCAGCTACACCATCTATCCTTTGAGGGCCACAGGGGGCTATAACGCCAGCTGACTCTTGGCAAGAGGTGGGGTCCACCCTGGACAGATCGCCAGCTTATGTTGTATTATGCTGTATTATTATAGTTTTCTATTGTGCTGCCACTGTCTGGATTCTAAACAACTGATACTTGCTGCAACATAGAGACTCCATTCAAACTTTAACATATTCAGCTCAATTAGGGCATTATCAGATGTATTTCTGATTGCAATTTGAAATTGAACCACTTCAACAAACTCTTTAAATCTGGTCCTTTTTCCTGGTTGAAATAATAAATAAATGAAAAATAAATAACACAGTTTTAGACATGTTTTGACACGCTTGTTCAAATATTTCTTCAACTGCCCTTTAAGGTGAGCGCAACGAAACTCTCTTTCAGGGGACGAAAATGAAATAAATAAGGCAACAACATATAAGCAATTACTTTTTGTGTGGGGTGAAACGTTAATATTTAGTAGAAAATACATCTCATTATTATCTGATCATCTCAGAGGCCTCCATTGCCCAGTGCTGCTTGGTACATCATATTTAATTCAGCAACTTTTCTAGCAGAAGAAGAAAACACAACCACAAAGCAGTGAGATAGAATGGTCCTGATCCAACCTCCTTATATTCTCTGCTCACGTTTAAAACTTTCATACTGCCCTGCGGCACTAACACCCCAACACACAAATTCTGTGTCAATCTCAATTGTTCCCTCACAGCAGACAGACAGCTGTACATGTTAAAGGCTCAGTGTGTAGAATTAAGTGACATCTAGTGAAGGTGCATGTTGCAGCTTAATACCACTCACCTCACCCTCCACCTCCAAACATGAAAGAGAACCTGTGGTAACCTTCAGTTGTCATAAAAACTCAAAAGGTGTTTAGTTTGTCCAGTTTGGGCTACTGTAAAAAACATGGCGGCCTCCGTAGAGAGGACCCCCTCCTGATGTAAATATAAAGTATTTAAATATAAAGGGTCTATTCTAGGGTAAAGAAAACAACAATTCTTACAATTTAGATGAAACACACTATTGAAAACCTCACTAGGATTATTTTACATTCAATTTCTGCCAATGAATCACCTAAATCTTACACACTGGACCTTTAAAGGACACTTGACATGTGACTAATTTCATAATTTTGCATATAAACCTATTGGAACTGTACCTATTGAAGTACAGTATCATTACCCATTCATGCATTCTTAGCATGATGTTATTGTAATAATAGCAGGGAGTGTAGATAAGAGGCTCTGCAGTCATAGTTTCACAAAGAGTTCCTTACCTGATGCTAATGATTCATCAAACTAGAGGCTGCCTCACAAAAACACAGCCAGCTGTAGCTGTGTGGCGCCATCATGTGGTTACACAGCAAATTACAAGTCACTCATGTGTAAGAAGAATTTAAAAATGATAATTCAACCTAGAATTATGACATTATTATCTCCATCAAGGAGGTTATCTTTTTGTTTGTCTGTGTGTCTATCATTAACCAAGATTATGCAAAAACTAATGGGATGATTACCAAGGTGAAATGATGCATTGTGGGTCAGGGAGGAACCCTTTAAATTTTGGCATGGTTTAGGATCAACTGATGGGGCCAAGAATTTGGACCTTCCCTTCATGCTGTAAAGAAACACTAAAGGCGTATTTCAAGCTGTAGTTTTTTCATATATCTCTGCTGTTCATTTCAATCTCCAAAAGCCAAGTATGTTCTATGCAACATATTGCACAACGTTTTGTCTTCTTCTAAAACAAATAAAGTTAGGGGTTCAGTCTGTGTCTACAGGCTTTCTCTTCTATCTAGTTCTTATGCATAAAGTCTATTCCTACACAGAAACAAATGCTGAGGTAGAATAAACACACAGATTTTATTTGCACATCTGTGTTTTTACACAGTCAACATATGACCTACTTTGAAAGTGTAACTGACCCAGTTGTTCAATCCACAGAATAGTCTCTGGGTAAATCATGTCAAGACTACCAAGGTGGTGTAACCAGTTTCTGATGCCAACAGGAATGGTGTTACTTTCTGTGCTAGTGCATCATTTTTAGATGTTGATAGAGAATTGAAAAACGATGTACAACAACCTGGTACAGATGAATTTCATAGGACTTGGCAGTGATGTCAGTGGAACATGATGCTTAATGACTGAAACTGAAATCCTGCTTTCTTTTCAATGAGTTACATAAAAAGACCCAAATTTGCTATGACTTTACTCCTCTGTCTGAAATGATGATGGTGAGAAGCTGTTATTAATGTATCATTAGCCAATTAATGTTCGTGTCTTGTGAACTTTAAAGATGTTTTAATAATAGTCATAATATAGTCTAATAAATATAGTTATATATAATATAGTTTAATAAAGTCACTTTAACCCAGTTCTTATTAAAATACCTTTGCTATCTTTGACACATGTAAAACCTGCTGTTTGTGTCTGTTATTGCAGCTCTGTAGCCCTTTTAAGGTTCCATTGTTAAAAACAAAAAGTCATGTTGTACTTGGTGTAGATGTACTTGAAATTACTGGATAACCAGGAAACAGTTTGCTTTAATATCAATACATTTCACTTTATTTTAACAGGATAAACCAGCCTGTATAAATATTGCTGTCCATGGAGTCATTGTCAGTTAATTAAATCCATATAAATACTGAACACTGTAAAAAAAACTTGGTTTACAAGTAATAGGTGAGTAGCTGTTTGTTGTGTACAGCTTTGTTTGTTATTTGTCTAGTATATGCAGTGATGCTTTTATACCATAGAAGTTCATAACTCTTAAAAAATATTTTAGCCAACAGTAAGCCAATTTTAAATGTTCTTATGGATGTTAGTGTATTTAACTAAGTGTCCTTGGAGAATGCTTATGAGACCCCGTCATAAGGAAAACATTTGGGCCAAAGATAGTAAATAAAACTGTAAATGGTTTATATGCAATTGGAAAGCACAATTTTGTGTGTCTCTCTTTGCTCTCTTGTAACACAAAAACACTTCCACCTTCTTTTCCCTGTTAAATGGGTTTTTTGTGGGCAAGTTTTTCCTCACTTGAACCGAGGGTCTGAGGACAGAGGGTGTCACTACCTGTACAGATTGTAAAGCCCTCTGAGGCAAAATGTGTTTTGTGAATTTGGGCTATACAAAAAAAATTTGATTTGATTTGATTTGAATATGTTTATTCAGCCTAGAGAGAAAATTAATGCGAATGGGATTGTGCCTGGTTCTACCTTTCCTAAAAATGTTGTTCCTTTGTGGTATTTCCATCTACTTTGGTCCAGTTGTAGTCAATAAATTGCTACATGAGCAGTGGTATCTCTGTGCACCTTTGCTATCATGGCAACAAAGGCAACTGCTTCTAAACAGTGTGGCAACAAAGGCAACTGCCTCTAAACAGCGTGGCAACAAAGGCAACTGCTTCTAAACAGTGTG